GAAGACAAAATGAATAAATAAAACCCGAGATAACTTATCACCTGCACAATGAAAAATATTAAAGAAAGTTCCTCAAGCCAAAGGGAAATGATACCAGACAGAAACAGATCTATAATATGCAAAGGAAAGTGCCAGAAATGGTAAATCTATGGGGTCACTATAGAACACTTTATTTTTTAATTTCTTTAAACTACATTGTCTGCTTAAAGCAAAAAGAAAGTCTTACTAATTCAAGTCAGACTGTGCTCAGCTAAGGAACTGAAATAAAACAGAGTTGTAGGTCAGAAGTCAATAGAGGAAATAGAATACTCACACGCACTTCATTAATCCAAAAAGAGACAGGAGAGTCGGCGGGAAGGAACAAAGAATAGATGGGAAAATCTAGAACAAATAGCAAGATGGTAGAATTAGACCTGACCTAACTCAGTACTACGGTGAATGAAACAAAACCATGGCAATGGAGTTCTGGTACAGCTGCCCTCATCACACGTGTGAGGCTCTGGCTGTGCGTTTCTGGATGAAGGGGAGGAAGATGACAATGAAGGAAGAAGAAAAGCAAACTTGGGGGACATAGAAATTCGAATAGAATAGGTTCTAGGTGCTCAAGTCACCTCTCACCCTGATTTTTCGGGGCACAGCTGTGTATTACTCTCACCCTTGGGGTGCGCAGCCCAGGTTACAGGTACCATGTTCCTGGATTTACGGAGCAGACACATGAACTGGGTTTGGGCACCGGGGGGAAGCTGAGCTGGTTTCCAGTGCTGCTGTTTGAAATGTGAGGAAGGCCAGAGACATGCTTCCAAGTCCAACTACTCACTGTGGATACCTGGTGGAAAGAGGACGCCCTTTCCACCAGGGCAGATGACGTCAAGCAGACCCACCAACAAGCTAACCACCTGCCAAAACAAATGCAATGCTCTTTAAAGGAAGACAATAAAGCCCATAATGTTTGACATGTAATAAATTACTCCGCCTGGCGCAGTGGCTCACACCTGTAATCCCAGCACTTTGGGAGGCCGAGACAGGTGGATCATCTGAAGTCAGGAGTTCGGCCTGACCAACACGGTGAAACCCTGTATCTACTAAAAATACAAAAAATTACTCGGGTGTGGTGGCGTGCGCCTGTAATCCCAGCTACTTGGGAGGCTGAGGCAGGAGAATTGCTTGAACCCGGGAGGTGAAGGTGGCAGTGAGCTGAGATTGTGCCATTGCACTCCAGCCTGGGCGACAAGAGCGAGACTCCATCTCAAAAAAAAAAAAAAAAAATACTCAACATGTGACAAGGAGGAAACAAAAGCAGTCAATAGAAGGCGTCCCAGAGGTGATACCGATGGAATTCCACCAGGAAAACTAGAAAAAGGCTCTGTCCACAGAAGGGATCGTGTAAACAGAATGGCAGAAGGGAACAAAAACAGAAAGGAGAAGTATAATCCAACTCTGACATAGGGAGGGGGAACTGTAAAATTAGAATCCGACAAGGTTTTAATAGGCAATAGACGATGATCCATTAAAACAGAGCTGTCATGATACGTCTGGACAGACTCAGTTATTTGACCCATGAAGGCTCTGGAGATGAAGGCACTGCAGCACCAGGTCTAAACGTGTCATCCCAAACATTTCTAGCTAGGCGGCAGAGAGAAATGACCAAGAATGATTCAGTTCAGTTCAACACTCGTTTGCTGAGGACCTTCTACCACCAGGCTCTGTGTCAGGTGCTGGGGATATAAAAATTACTAAGACCAAGTCCATGCCCTTAAGGGGAAACCCAGTTCTACTGGAGGAAACAGGCATGGCAACACATCAGAAAGTAGTGTATCCAAGCATTCACCTGTCACTTACCAGCTGAGAGAATTTGAATATGTGCCCTGCCAAAATCTCATGTTGGATTATCATCCCCCGTGTTGAAGGTGGGGTCTTGTAGGAGGTGATTGGCGCACAGGAGTGGATTTCTCATAAATGGTTTAGCCCCAACCCCTGGATGCTGTCCTCACAAAAGTGAGTTCATTCTAGTGAGATCTGGTCGTTTCAAAGTGTCTGGCACCTCTCCCTCGCTTGCTCCTGTCTTGCCATGTGATATGCCTGCTTCGACTTTGCACTCCATCAAGATTGGAAGCATCCTTAGGCCTCCCCAGAAGCAGATGTCGCTATGCTTCCTGTATAGCCGGCAGAACCGTGAGCCAATAATACCTGTTTTCTTACAAATGACTCAGTCTCAAGAGTGCAAGAATGGTCTAGCACACCAGCTATGTGGCTTGCACAAATCCTTTAACCCCAGTTTCATCATCCATAAAATGAGGATGATAATAACCACCTAGCAAGACTGTTGTGAACATTCTAGAAATAATGTGAAAAGTGCCTAGCTCACCACCTGGCGTATAGTAATTCAGCAGCTCTCAACTTGAGAACAAGACACACATTAGAATCTAGGTGGCAAGAGGAGGGTATTTCTAACTAGTCCCAGCCTACCTCCCACTCTATCCTGATTCCCCCGGAAGGATGTGCCTACCTCTTCTAAACCCATTACCCTGGACAAAGAAACACTATGTCCCATGCATAATATAAAGTGCGGGAGTGTGTTTTGCATGTGAATGGTGCATAGGTAGAATAAAGTTTGAGAATCACTCTGTAAGCATTCATCTCAGTTCAACACTTATAAAGCACCTACTGGGTGCCAGGCTCATAAAAAACTAATTTGGATTATTTCCACATAATGATAGAGGTATGTATAAAATGCTAAGAGAATATAATACAGGAGAAGGCACTCAGCCTGGGGGTCAGGAAGGCCCACGAGCCTTGGTAGTTACCTGGCCTAATAGGTGAGAAGGTCATCTTAGGAGAACAGAAAGGTATAAGTTGGCAATAGCATGGTGTGTTCAGGGAACTAGGATCCAAGTGTTAAACAGGGTCAAGGAATTGAATATCCGGGAGAGGTAGACAAGGGCAGGTTCATGAAAGACATGCAAAGAAACCCACTTAATCCTGTGGGTGGTGAGAGCCGCAGAAGAGCATGACAGAAAGGAGACCCAGGTCCTTCTGTGCTCCAGGTCAGTATCTCTGAAAGCAGTTCCCAAGCTAAATTTCATGACGAAAGCACAGGCAGCCTCAGAGAGCTCAGCCTCCACAGGAATTCATTCCTCAGGGGCAGTGTGCACTGCTCACTCAACTTTGCTTCTCAAGCACCCACCCGAGTCTGACCCCACTAGAGGCACTAGGTTCATTGTACAGAACGGATATTAATAAACTTCCTTATCCAGAACTTGTGCAATAGCCAAGCATAGTGGCTTATGCCTGTAATTGCAATACTTTGGGAGGCCAAGGCAGGCAGATTGCTTGAGCCCAGGAGTTCGAGACCAGCCTGGGCAACATGGTGAAGTCCCATCTCTATAAAACTACAAAAATTAGCCAGGCGTGGTGGTGCACGCCTGTGGTCCCAGCTACTAAGGAGGCTGAGGTGGGAGGATCTCGAGTCCAGGAGGTCAAGGCTGCAGTGAGCCATGATTGCACCATTACACTGCAGCCTGGGCAACGGAGTGAGACCCTGTCTCCAAAACAACAACACAAGAAACAGAACCTGTGCATTTTTAACATTATCTCCAACTATGGGATTCATTCAATTACAAAGTTTTATTAACCACCAAGTAGGGAGGGAAGATATGAACACAAATACAGTCAGGGCTTTACGACAGGGAGACAGCTGGGAAATGCACCCTTAGGCAATTTTGTTGTGTGAACATCACAGAGTGCACTCACGGAAGCCTAGATGGTACAGCCTACAGCCTACAACACAAATAGGCTACAGTGTACAGCCCATTGCACCTAGGCTACAAACCTGTACAGCAAGTAACTGTACTGAGTATCATAGCCACTTGTAACACGATGGTGAGTATTTGTGTACCTAAACAAATCTAAACATGAAAAAGGTACAGTATAAATACAGTATAAAAGATTAAAAATGATACATCCGTATAGGGCACTTACCAAAATGGCTGTTTCAGAACTCGAAGTTGTTCTCGGTGAGTCAGTGAGCGAGTGGTGAGTGAATGTGAGGGACTAGGATATTATTGTCCACTACTGTAGCCTTTATAAACACAGTACACTTAGGCGACACTAAGTTTATTTTTAAAATAAAGTAATTGAGCTATAACATGACAATGGCTACAGTGTCACTAGGTGAAAGGAATTTTTCAGCCCCATTAGAATCTTACGGGACCACCTACATACATACAGTCGATTTTTGACTGAAACATCCTTACCCAGCACGTGAATGTAATTGCAATGAAGTGAAAGATAAAGGTTATAGTTCTAGTGTATCCAGAGTGCTTCAGGAGATGAACTGTTAGGGAAAGCCAGAAAAGTCTCCACCATGGGAAAAATATTTGGCCTGGGTCTTGAAGGATAAATAGGAAGTCAGCACTCAGAGACAGGTGCCAGTGTTTTTCAGCCTGAGGCAGGGCGGTATGAGAGACAGCTGGAACGGTTTGAGAATGCGTGGTGAGAACTTACACTCACTGGGGACTAGCTATAAGAATGCAGTGGACCTAGCACTGTGATTTTTCGACCTGGGCTACACATCAGAAACACCTAGGGAGCTTTTAAAACTTCCAGGGCCCAAACCACATTCCGAACCAATTAAATCAGGACGTCTGGGGCTAGGAGCCAGTCATCAGTATTTTTTTTTAAGCTCCCAAAGTGATTCCAATGTGCTGCCAAGTCTCAGAACCACTAGTCTAGAAAGGAGGGATAAGGATTTCCAGCAGCGCCAGAGGACCGGCCCTCCTGGTGACCCTGCGATCCTGGCACACACAACCCCCCACCCCGCCGCCTGGGAGAAAGACCGGCCACATCACAGCCATCGGCTGTTTCCTGCTGCTCCTTTCCCCACACCAGCATTTTGCTCTGAAATAGTGGTTCTCAAAGTGTAGTCCCCAGGCTGTAGCATCAGCCTCAGGGGGAAGTTGTTAAAAATGCCAATTTCCCAGCCGCACCCTGGACCCACTCACCCAAAAACTCTGGGAGCCCAGCAACTGAGGCATGCTAAGGTTGGTGAGCCGCTGCTCTGGAACACTGATCCCTCCCAAACTGCAGCAAAGCAAGTGCCTGGGTGTGGCTCTGGCTGTGTAGGTGCTGCTAGAATCTGCCGGAGTCACTGATTGTCAGAAGAGATGCCGTGGGAGCTGGTTTGGGTGCCTCCACGTTGGTCGTCACCACCAGGCAGTGGCCTTTGGCCTGGAATAGAAGGTACCAGAGGGCTGATGGCTCAGTTTTTTATGGTACCAAGAAAAGACTTTCAGATTGGAGGTATGGGATTTTATTTTTTTAATCCTCTTTTAATACAAAGTGGCCCCTTGAAAGCAAACTTTCAAGATATTTCACATCAGAACTGGCCGGGAAATCCAGCATGTGGACAGACACGGATATGCCATGTGCACTTTTCCGTCGGAGGAAGGGGGTAGGCTTGGGTGCTGGAGGGTGTTGCCTAGGGGCGGAGCGATAAGGAAGAAAGGGCACTGCTAGTTCACACCTCATCCATCCCCCCCTCCCAGGCCCCAACCAGGCTGGAATTAAAGGACCCTGGGAGGAAAATATGGAAAGCAACAAAGGAAATGAGTTCCCATATAGAAAGGGAAATTGCCGTTCCCATTAAGGTCAGACTGGTCCGAAGTAAAGGGCTGGTGCGCCCTAGCGACCGCCTCTGCCGAAGCCCTGACGCTGGAGCTCTGTTGCCCTCGCAGAATAACCGGGACTTTGTTGCAGCCGGAACCGGCCACGTCTTGATTCCACACTCCCTTGAGGAGCCAGCCAGCTCCACACTTACTCAAAGAATCCGAAGAGCACCAAGTGGATTCTCTGCCACACGACTGAAGAGAGCAAGCTGTCTGGGGGGTTCTCCACCTCTTTTCAACTCAACTATTCAGAGCTGAAGTACTGGACCCGTTTTGTTTTTCTTGTTTTTTTCCTGCTTCAGTAATCTGGAAAAATCCAGCAGGTCTGAAAAACTGTTGGGCTTGACAGCGTGTGTGTATCGCCACCTGGTGGCCACAGCTTATCAAAACAGCTTCCTTCCGGGGCCCTTGTGGATGTACATCAAAGGCTCCGGCTTCCAGACAGGTACACATCCTGTTCTCATGCCCGGCTCACTTTCCCGTGGGAATGTCAGCCACTCTGATTTGCCTTGGCTGAAAACCTCCTGTCTTTGCATGGAAAAAAAACACAAATAATATGAACAAGCAACAGAGTTTTCTTTCTCTCTTAAGTAACCAAGCATTTAAAATCTTCTAAAGCACACATTTCCCTAATTGAGAAAGGAAGTAGAAGAAAAATTTCTGGCTGAACTTACAAATCATAATAAATGGTCGGAAATACCTTCTCCCTTACCAAGATTCGTGGGGTCCTAGTGTAGAGGAGACTTCAGTTGCCCTTGACGCTACAATATCCTGACTAAAAGCCTGTTTCCAAGGTGATATTTGATAGACATGAAGGACCCGGGTGGAAAAGAAGGTGGTCTGGATGGCATGGCAAGCAGTGGAACACGCAGGCTACGAGGCATCAGGAGAAACCAGTTCTGGTCCTGGCACTGCTACCAACCTGCTGTGGCACCTTGGGAGGTTACCTAAACTTTGTGGATCCCAACGCCCTAGATTCGTTAACTTCTTTCTACTTTTTCCCATAAATTCCATGTTTTTGAAAGATGTTGCCCACCAAAATGCATCTCTAAAATAGGAGCTTAATAAGCTTTCTGTCTTGAGGAATCAGACGTATAAATGTCAGGCAGGCCTTCTGATGATCATGATGCAACCAGAGTTACCACAATGAGTCCATATCACAGAGAAAGGCAAAGACACTTGATCCTTTCTTAACCTGGTCTCCCACCCATGAATGGCTTTTGTTAGGATTTCAGCATGTTGAAACCAACCCACAGACCCTAGTTACAACTTTCCCAGGCCCTGAGAGCGGGGGAATCCCAGTTTGGAAACCAACAAACTAGAAAATCTTGAGGGTAACTCTAGCTCTCATGAACTAAAACAGAGTAAAGATGGAAGACTGTGGTATGTAGATGCAGGTAGAGTCTTGATTTGAGAAATGGCATTACCAGGAATTAGCATTTCAGAAATGCCAGCTCCGTGTCAGGATTTTTTTTATTTTATTATGTATATTTGTCATGGACAACATGTTTTGGAATATGTATACATTGTGGAATGGTTAAATAAAGCTAATTACATATACACGTGCTCACAAAGTTATCATTTTTGGGGGTGACTTAAAATCTCTCAGCGATTTTCAAAAATATATGTTATTAATTATAGTTGCAATGTTGTACAATAGATCTCTTGAACATGCATTCCTGTTGTCTAACTGAAATTTTATGTTCTTTGACCATCTTCCCAACTGCCCCCCAACAAGCCTGAAAGCCCTGGTAACCCCTATTCTACTCTCTACGTCTATGAGTTCAACTTTTTAAGATTCCACATGTAAGTGAGATCATGCAGTATTTGTCTTTCGGTGTCTGTCTTATTTCAATTAGCATAATGTCCTTTGGGCTCATCTGGGTCACAAGCAACAGGATGTCCTCCATTTTAAAAGACTGAATAGTATTCCGTGGTGTATTTTCTTTACCCAACCCCATTTTCTTTATTCATCCATCCGTTGATGAACACTTAGCTGGTTTCAAATCTTGGCTATTGTGAATAGTGCTGCAATGAACATGGCAGTACAGATAGCTCTTCAACATACCGGTTTTATTTCCTTTGGATATATATACCCAGGAGTGGGATTGCTAGATCATATGGTAGTACTATTTTTAATTTTTTGAGGAACCTCCATACTGTTTTCCGCAATGGCTGTGTTAATTTACATTCCCACCAGCAGTGCACAAGGCTTCCCTGTTCTCCACAACCTTGCTAGTGTTTGTTATCTTTCATATTTTTGATAACAGCATTCCAACAGGCATGAGGTGATATCTCATTGTGGTTTTAATATGTATTTCGCTGATAGTGCAGAAGTTTTAAATACAGAATCACAGTTAGTCCTGACAATAAGCTCTAAAACACCCATGCAGATGAGGAAAGAACTGCAGGGAAGTTAAAGGTCTGCACCTTACAGCTGAGACCAGAACCAGGTCTGTATCATTTCAGAGCACATAATCTTTCAAAGGAACCTGACAAAATCACAGCAATTTTTAGGTTCACAGAGAACAGGCAAAAAACAAACAGACAGAAAGAAATGATAGTAATTTCCAAGTATGAACCAGTAATCCAAACTAAACATATTTTGTTGAATGAATATCCTGGATTCTACTATGTTTCTCCAAGTCCCCATCTTCTTAAAACATAGCATTTGGGGTTTAGTAGATATTGATAAATCTTTTGCATATCTATGCACTGTTAATTCTTTTTACTACATATTATTTGATTGTAGTAAAGCCAGTTTTCTGACATTTATCTGAAAGCAAACTGTGAAGTACTTCCATTCTACTTCCTGGTGATTTTCGGTGACCTGGTGCCGTTTGAATGTATGTGTCCTCCAAAATTCATATGTTGAAACTTAAACATATTGATTTAATACAATCAATGTACAAATACATTGATTTGAATGTACGTGTACTCCAAAATTCATATGTTGAAACTTAAACGTATTGATTTAATACAATCAATGTACAAATACATTGATTTGAATGTACGTGTACTCCAAAATTCATATGTTGAAACTTAAACGTATTGATTTAATACAATCAATGTACAAATACATTGATTTGAATGTTTGTGTACTCCAAAATTCATATGTTGAAACTTAAATCCCAAAGCAATGATAGTATAAAGTAGGGCATTTGGAAGGTGATTAGGTCATGAGGCCGCCACCCTCATGTAAATGGATTTAGTGCCTTTATAAAAGGGCTGGAAGGAACTAGCTAGGCCCATTGCCCTTCCATCTCTTCTGCCACATGAGGGCGCAGCGTTTATTCCTTCTGCTCTTCCACCTTTTCCACCATGAGAACACCAGAGATAATACCATATGTGGCCAGGCACGGTGGCTCACGCCTGTAATCCCAGCACTTTGGGAGGCCAAGGTGGACGGATCACAAGGTCAGGAGATCGAGACCATCCTGGCCAACATGGTGAAACCCCATCTCTACTAAAAATGCAAAAATTAGCTGGGCGTGGTGGCACGCTCCTGTAGTCCCAGCTACTCAGGAGGCTGAGGCAGGAGAATCGTTTGAACCCATGAGGCAGAGGCTGCAGTGAGCCAAGATTGCACCGCTGTACTCCAGTCTGGCGACAGAGTAAGACTCCATCTCAAAAAAACAAAGAAAAAAGAAAGCAAGAAAATACCATCTATAGGACAGGCCTTCACTAGACACCAAATCTGCTGACGCTGTGATCTGGGACTTCCCAGCCTCCAGAACTATGAGAAATAAATTTCAATTGCTTATGAATTACCCAGTCTGTGGTATTTTGCTATAGCAGCAGGAACAGACTAAGACATTCAGGGTAATGTGTCATTTCAAGACATGAAAGCTCAGTTCTGTAATATTTTCTTCTCTTATTCCTTTAATAATTTTCTTCTACACATCATCTGTTTTCTCTTTCTGAAACTTCTACCAGTTAAATATTAAACAACTCTGGTTTTTTTAACCTTTCTTGTCTATATTATGATTCAACTAGGATCAAAAGAGTATCTAATTAAACAGTAGCTTAAACAAATTAGGAGTTTATTTTTTTTCTCACACAAGAAGTCAAGAAGTCATTGGACCAGTGTTATTTCAGAGGCTCAGGAATGTCAGGGCCAAAATATCTGGAACTCTCTTGGTCTCTTACCCATGTCTACAAGAGAGCTGCTGCAGCTCTATCCATCCCATCCCCATTCAAGGCAGAATGAAGGAAGAAGCAGAAGGAAGCAGAAAGGGGTGTAGTTGTATCAGAAGAATAAAGCCTTTCCAGAAATTTTCTACAGACTTAAACTTATGACTCCTTGACCAGAAATGTATCAAAAGGCAAATCTAATTACAGGAAAGTCTAAGAAAGGAAGTTTTAGTCTCCCACCATGAAAGTGCAGGGAGGCAAGAGAAAGGAGGGTTGTAAAGAAGGAATGAGACAATCCAGTGCCCTATTTTCTTTCTTTTTTTTTTTTTTTTCTCTGAGACAGAGTCTTGCTCTGTCCCCCAGGCTGGAGTGCAATGGTGCCATCTCAGCTTACTGCAACCTCCGCCTTCCAGGTTCAAGCAATTCTCCTGCCTCGGCCTCCAGAGTAGCTGGGATTATAGGCGCCCACCACCACGCTCAACTTTTTTTTTATATTTTTAATAGAGACAGGGTTTCACCATGTTGGTCAGGCTGGTCTTGAACTCCTGACCTCAGATGATCCACCCACCTCAGCCTCCCAAAGTGCTGGGATTACAGGTATGAGTCACCGCACTGGGCCAGTGTCCTATTCTTATCTTTTTTTTTTTTTTTTTTTTTTACTACTTCATGCAAGAATTCTTCAATTTTGTCTTCTAAACTTTGTTGATTTTTTTTGTTTGTTTCTGCTCTAATTATTTTAATTTCTAAGAGTGCTTTCTTCTGATATTTTGTTTTTGTTGTTGTGTTGTTTTAATAGCTTCCCATCTTGTTTCATAGCTGTAATATCTTCTCATCTCTCTAAAGATATTTATAACTTCTCTTTAAGTCCATTTTGTTTTTTGCCTCTTCCTCATAATATTTTCTTTTTCTTCAAAATTGATAGCTCTCCCCACACATAGACATTTTGGCATCTGTCTTCTATTTGGGTAGCGTCCCTCAAAAGTCTGATGATCTGGGCTGTTGATTTATACATAAATATGAGACACCAAGAAGTTGTTTAGAGGAGCTGTGTGATTAAATTAGTATTGTCCCCTGGCAGCATACAGAGTGATCAGGTGTTGAGCCAGCTCTTTCATGAGGCAGACCCCCACAACCAATGTCATTATGTGTGAGTATTTTCTCTGGACTTACTGAGTTTTTCCATTGATTTTCCACTCTGGTCTTCAATATAATGGAGTTGGAGACCAGGGTCCAAGCAGTAATTCCAGTGCCATAGTGGGAGCACAGAGGATGGTGAGAATCCTCTGAGCGGAAGACTCTGGTCAGTTTCTCCAGAGAAGGAACTTCTTGTTCTACAGAGGTTAGAGAAAGGTCATACTCTGGTGGTATGGATTAGAGGTCTAAAAGATCCTTTGAGAAACGGTCAAGTAATTTATCTGTCTTCATCTCCATGATCTTGTCCTCCTTTGCCCCTTCCACTGTATTGGTGTCTCCAATTTCAGAAGTTTTCAGGTATTCTGTTGAACAAATCTTTTGTTTCTCATCAATCTTCCCTTCCTGAGATACTTGGGTTTCAGCCTTCTCTGCTAAGTGAGTTATCATTCCTCAAACCACTTTTCATCTTTTCTACTCTTCTCTCCCTCCAATTCTCTCTGTCCTTATGAGTTTATGCCTTTTTAGTCCTTCATTGTAATTTTGGACAGGGAGGAAAGAGTAGGAATGAAGCTCAGATATATGGATGTATTGAATCTGCCATGCTAAACTGAAAGTCTACACATATTTGTTTAATATTTCCAATTTCACAACACATTTCCTCCAAAAAAAACTTATGGAGCTTTTTATTATTAATGTGTCACTGACCTTCAGTCATAATCTATCTTAGCAAGGATATAGGTACATACCAGACTGAAAAGATTTGACAAACACTATTCTGAGAAACCCACATTTGGTCAACAATCAAAGGAAATAAATTTGTTAAAAAGGAAGCAGATGAAACAAATCCAGATTGTGTTTGAGCTCTATAAGTCAAAGACATAGTTTTAAAAAGTAAACTCAAGTAATCCAATATTACAAGATCTAGAGGGTCAGGATAAAGTGAGTTAGGCTTGCACATCAAAGAAATAGCTAGGCCACCACCAAAAATGTTTCCAGGTGAAATCAAGTTGCAAAATTGTATAAACAATCTTGAGATAATTAAGCAAAAGCAAATATATTTTCAGATGCTAAGGGCTGCAGAGGGAAAAAAGAGCAACTCTATATAGAGAAAATTAATATACTGGGGCTTATCTCCTAAGAATGGCTTGTGAAGCATAACTTTTTTTTTTTTTTGAGATTCTCACTCTTTCACCCAGGCTGGCTGGCGCGCAGCGGCATGATCTTGGCTAACTGCAACATCTGCCTCTTAGGTTCAAGCGATTCTCGTGCCTAAGCCTCCTGAGTTACAGCTAGAATTACAGGCACATACCACCCCACCCAGCTAATTTTTGTATTTTTAGTGGAGATGGGATTTCACCATGGTGGCCAGACTGGTCTCAAACTCCTGACCTCAAGTGATCCACCCACCTCAGCCTCCCAAAGTGCTGGGATTACAGGCATGAGTCACCATGCCTGGCCTGAAGCATACATTCGATCTAACAAGTCTTCTAGGTATTTGTTCTACAGACACAGTTACCCAAGTGCTGAATTATATACATTCAAGGGTATTTATTTTGGAGTATTTTAAGTCATAACACAAAATGGGAATATTCTATAAATCTTTCAATAAGGCCTGCCAGACCCATATATCCAGTAGCCATGGGAATGATATCTAAGCTGTGAGTGAA